TAAACAGTTCAATGACTGATTGTTGGCTTCAATTATTGACCTCTTCATATTAGCGATCCTTAAGAGAAATGTGGAAAACATGCCCCAAAGGCTCTACACCTACGGATAGGTTTTTACCCAGCAATATTACTGGTAGGTCTCTATACCAGGGAAATAAAAAGACCCACCTGCACAAAAATTTTGATAATAACTGCTTTTTCTTGTGGTGGAAAAGATTTGGAAACTGAGGGGATGCCCACCAATTGGGGAATGGCTGAACAAGCCTTGGCATATGATTATGGTGGAATACCATGTTACTGTCAGAAATTATGAAAAGGGTGATTGCAGAAAATTCTTAGAACGTTTACATGAATTCATACAAGGTGAAGGGAGCACAACAGGGAGAAAATATATCCATTAAGGGCAATATTAGACTGAAAAATAACTGTAATAGACTTAGTAACTGACGGTTACAATGACCCACAACAATTCCTAAGTCCTTATGATGAAAAATGCTATTCTCCTGCCAAGACAAAACAGATGTATTCAGAGTTCAGACTGAAGCACATCTTTCCTTAAATTCCTTGTCGTAATTTCTCCCCTAAGCCGTGGTAAATGTGGTAATGTGTTTTCCTTGACTTTATACGTGGAATGTATATTCCATTTCTTTCGTTCTCAGTGACTAGGAGTGGGAAGGATGGCAAGGCTGAATTTGAAAGTGGGAATTTACAGATAATAAAATCATATACAATCAAAAGAAAAAGAGTGATGTGGTCTTGAGCATTGATGTATTCTCTCAAAATTTCTCCTGCCTATTTTGTTGCATGCAGATATCTCTGCTGGATGGGTCATTGAACTTCTCTGGTTTAAATCTCCCATATCAAAAAAACTGGACAATAGCTTCCTTTCTCTTCCTTTCCTTTCACTTCCCTCATCATCCCTTCAAATACTTCAAGGCCCTCTCTTTCCCTCCTTTCCCTTCCGATCCTCACTTCTGTCCACCTCCTGTCTTTCTCTAATTTTCTATTCTCTTCATCTGTGTTGTCATCCTCTTCTATTCTCTTGGCCTCTCTCCTTCAGTGCCTAATTCGTTTATGGTAATTATGATGGATCATCCAAAACAAATCCGGTATTTCTAAGGGGTGTATCCAAGGGGAAAACATTTCCTTTCCCTAAGGCTCAGTTCCCTTAGTTCTCAAAAGCAAGGATTTGGCTATATTACCTCTAAGCTTTCTACCACTTTCAAAATCCAATGTACATCCACATCAATAGAGAACTGAAATTAATTTGTTTAGACATAGCGTATTTCACCACTCTTATTCACATTCTTATCTAAGTAAGCCCAAGTAGCTCCACAGTGAAGTATATTTCAATTTCTTAGGCAAATTTCTTGTCACAATCCAAGGGAATAGAGAGCAATCCCCTTCAGAAGTGTATGATCTTTCTCTTTTACATATCTAGCAACACCCATGCATCTAAGTTCTTCACTCAGGAAAGCAAAGCCAATAATTTTGACATGAAACTACTGTAGCATACATGGAAATCGCTAAGAACAAACAGTACAGGGGAGGGTACTTATACATGTAGTCACAGTGCTCACTTTAATTAGGCATATGTTAACACAATCAGGCTTGAGCAATTATCTCTATCACTCTCCTCATTTTGACTTGAAAACAAATACCAGAACAATTAAGCTCAACTCTACTTATAGCCAAAGAAACCATGTTCATTCCTTCTAGGTCCGTGGTCCATTTCTGTGTTACAAGAAGGTTAGTAGATGGTCTAAAGGTGTTGTGATTCTTTGCATTCTCTATTTCTTTTCTACCACTGAAGTGATAATAGGGAGCTGAAGAAAACTGGATTGCCTTGGAGAAATTAAAAAGCTCACTTAATGACTCTGAAGTTTGCTTCTCAGACTCCTGTATTCCCCTTCTGGGGAAGCAAAGCTGTAGTTTTCTGAATGAGACATTGTAAAAAACAAACAAACAATACTAAAAAACAACAAGACAACAAAACAGAAACAGAAAGCATCTGGGTAGGGGAGTAGGAGCCAAAGCCTGAGTTGAGATTCATGATTATCTAGAATGGAATAATAGAGATATATTTAAACCCAAGTTCTTGGGACATAGGGAATGCAACCACTTCATCCAACGTGAGAATGTTATACAACAGGGAGAAGTAACTATGCCTTAGTATTTGATAGAGCACCAATAGGATGTGTAGAGTATTGTTTTCTTTTGTTTTGTTTTCTCTTTTCCTTGAAACCAACCATGTGCCTGAGTGCTGCATGTTCTATCATAATTGAGAGATTTTATGAACTTTGATGAGGTTTTCTTTTTTGACTGTACTAAAGAGTCTATTTTGTTATTCAGTTTCTTCTCCATTATTTCTTTTGACTAATTGATTCATTAGTTCAATAAAGAGAACTAAAGGGTTTTATATAGCAGACACGGGAGTAGGAATGGTGGATTGCTACAGACAAACAAAAACACTTTCACAGGACCTGTTTTGAAGGAACTTGAATTCTATTTGGAGAAAATAGTATATAACTGGGGCATAGGGAAGGAAGAAGGAGCATACCACCTTATCTTAAGAACTTAAGGCAGGTTTCTCTGCTTGTTCAATTTCTGGTCAATCAATTAAGGTGACCTACTGAAAGTTCAAGTACTTCTCACTCTCTTTCTCCTGTGTAAGGTTCTGAGATTCATGGGGTGGAAGTGGGGGTAGGGGTTATTCTCAAGAGATAAAGACAGCTTTAGAGCAGGAGTGAGAAACTGTAGCCTGAGGGCTCCAGTGGACCTAGAGATGAAGTGCACACAGCCCATGATGTTCTCCCAAATTTGGATCAAAGAAAAGTGGCTGTGATCTATGAATGATGACAAAGGCTACTTTCTTCCCAGAGCAGTTACCAAGGGTGGGACAAAATGCCCCTTGAGACCTGTCATTCCTGGTGGTCATTATCCACTCCAGGTGACTCACCGGGGGAAAAAAGGTTATCACCAAAGGAAACATAGAAAGCATTTCCAGGGATTCCAGAATCCTCATCACGAGCTATTTTGCTGAAGATGCGATTTCTAGGATGCTCAGGGATCTTACGTTTTTGAAGATTGGCAGGAAAAACCACCACTGTGGATAACTAGGTTATGTGTCTCTCCAGATTCCATTTGGAGGAATGGCTCTATCCCTTGGTCAATCAATCAAACAATCTCTCTTGAAAACTCGTTTATGTGTTCGGAAAGCATGAAGTGAAATGACTTCTCTGCCAGTCATTTTGAGCAGAACCTAATGCGGCATAGGTGGAGATCCCTAGGAACAAACACTGTAGAGGAAGGAGTGATGCCTCTAGTCATAGTGCCAACTTGAATTTGTCATCACTTCACACAAAAAACAGCCCTTGGGCCATTATCTCTCTCACTTCCCTTTTTTTGACTGCACAACAAATACCACGACAATTATGCTCACCTCTATTTCCAACCAAGGAAACACTGTTCGTTCCTTCTCAGCCCCTGGTCCATTTCCTTGCTCGTAGTGTCAAGCCGTTTGGACAACGACCATTTGCACCCTTACTAGGAAGTTTTCCTATTCCCCATGCAAAGGAGAGAAATCTTCTTCGCCTGCTCTGCCTCTTTCCTAGCATAGAATCTCAAAGAAAAGTCCAGGAAGAATGTATTCATTGTTTGACTGAACCAGGAGAAGGCTTTGGGCATTCAAGACAACGGTCGTCCAGTCATAGGCCTGTCATGGGGAAGCCAGGAACTAGGTTTCTACTGCTTGGCCACAAAGGCCAGAACTAGCAGCAATGGGAAGATGTTGAGGACGGGCATAGTGAGCTTTGAGAGAAGGAACAACTTCGAACTAAGAGTTGTCCTAACATTGATGAAGTGCTTCAAGGCAGATATTGACAAGGGACAAGAGGCAAGGGGTGATTGAGAAATCAATCATACATTGGGAAAGTCTGAATTGGAGAAGCAGTTGCCTTCTTCTCTCCAAGCTAGGAGACTTATCCCCCAACAATGCCACTGACTAATTTGATTATCCCTTTTTGATCACGGGGGAAAAGAAAGAAGGAAGTAAAGCGGACCCAGAAATAGCAGCTAATGAGAAGGCAGTATAAAAGGCGTCTAGCAGGCCAGCAGACATCCATACTCCAGAAACTCACTCACCTGCAAACCATCCCCGAAACTCAATCCACCAACACCATGGTCAGCTCCTGTTGTGGCGCCACCGGCTGTGGCCAAAGCTGTGGCTCTGGCTGCTGTCAGCCCTGCTGCTGCTGCTGCTGCCCCTGCTGCTGTGTGAGCACCTGCTGCCGGCCCTGCTGCTGCTGTCAGCCCTGCTGCTGCCAACCCTGCTGCCGCCCCTGCTGCTGTGGGTCCAGCTGCTGCCGCCCCAGCTGCTGCACTTCTAGCTGCTGCCAACCCTGTTGCCGCCCCCGCTGCTGCCAGGTCACTTGCTGCAGAACCACCTGCTGCCGCCCAGCCTGCTGTGGCTCGTCCTGCCGCTGAGCTCTCACACCTACTTCTCACACTGCCCACCAGCCCCCACCTCTTCTCAAACAGGCACCACTTCTTTGCATCCTCTCCTTCACTACCACAAGACGATGTTCAGGACCAACCATGACAAACTGACCCACCTGAGACCCCTTCGGACGTGACAACCAGAAACTCATCATCCAACTCTCACCTCTCTCTTGCCTTTGTCCTTCGTGCACACCAAACTGTTATTTGATTTCAATCCAGCCACTCAAACTCTTCGCTTTTCTCCCTAACCCCCATTATCTTGCTGCCTGACCTCCAGCCACCACATTCTGCCCATTGAGAAGAAGAACGCTCTTGGCCATCTTCTTCACCCACACCGGGACGTGACTACGCAGATGCCAATGATGTTCCTTTCTCAAATTCCCTTTCCCTCTCACCGCGATTTGCCTTGGTCTTAGTGTTGGTCCCATTCCAAATAAAACTTCCTGGCAATTAAAGAAATCCAGCGACTTGGTGAATCCTTTCTTTTTCATGTGTCCTTGGTCAATGCCCAAGCAATTGTAAACAACACACAACTGCCCTTTCAGCAGCCATGAACTTGAACCCATGCCCCAAGGGAATACCGTCTATCCTATACTTAGCAAGTCATTCTCCAGCCTCTGCACACTAGGTTTTTCCACAATGTCCAGACACGTCATTATTATGGTTTCTTTCTTCGCTAAGTCATTCACACACAAATGTAACCAATCAATGCATCCATTAGGTGCCTTCTTCTGTGCAGAGCTAGCCTTGAGATTTCTGTGACTTGCAGTGTTCCATGGATCACACTGTCCAATGGTTGGGGCCCATCTCCAATAGAGTTGTTGAATGGTCATTGTGGGATGAAGATCCTTCGTCTCACCAAGGAGGGGAAACGATCATTTCACAGAGAACGAATTGTGATGTGGGAGGAAATTTATGTTATAACGGTGAGAAGTCAAAATCATTATCATGCTTCTAACGCTTATACCGCTTATGAACAAGGGGAAAGAGCCTAGCTCCAGATGTGGTCAATGTAGTATGGAGAATCAAGAGACGAAAACTGTTAGGACATTCCAAGCGGGCATCATTTCTAATTTGCTCCCACTCTTACCTGGAAAATGCCATTGACGCCAAAAAAGGCTTTCCTCAGAGCAGAGCTTAGAACTAGGCTACGCAAGACAACTGATCTGCCAAGGCACACCACTTATGGAAGGAGTGCGAAATTGGGAAAATTGTATTCTTCTATTAGTGCAAAATATCTTCATGCAACAAATGTTCACCTCTGATGCCATGTAGAGATTTTTTCGGGAATCATACAAACTTCATATGCTACCGTGGAGGGTAGGCTTTGGATGGATAGCAGGAACTGAGGAATGAAGGAAAAGATGGTTTCTCAGATGCCCTGAATCTATGGAATTCTAACCAACAATTCAACTGCTGCAAACGTTTCTGTGCTACCTGCTTCCTTGCAGTCAGAGATATAAGAAAGGAGGCCCAAGGACAGCTTCACCAAGGGCCTACAACTTTGGCATGGCATTGGCAGCACTAGAAAGCATTGCGATTGCCCAGAATGATGCCTTAAGGTTTGCCACGATAGCAACTCTAAATTCATCTCTACTCTCTTTCTCAATTGGACTATGGGCTTTTCTGAGCCTTTCGGAACTCATGCATTATGAATGGGAATAGGGCAGTTAATGAAAAAGATGCCCCATAGCTGGCCCTCAAATATCAATTACCTAAAATCAGAATGCACCAGGAGCTGACTCCCCTCTACCCACTCCCAGAGGCTGCATCCCAGATGACTTCCTCCCACACCTACCTCTGACTGCTCTTATGCTCTCTACACCATGCCTTCATCTCCCTGAAAAAAGTCTCATGATATCTTGGGATCTCCCCCCATGTAGGACAAGTGTCCAACAAGGTTGTTACATTCTTCCAACAGTCTCCACATGGCCTTGTCCCAACATCTTGGTGGCATCTTTTCTCTTGCTTTCCCTAGGTGGACTGATGCACCAAAACGGCAGGTTGCCTCTCTCTTGGCAGTGGCTTTTGTCAGTGTATGAGTGCTGGAGAAGGGACGAATACAGATGCAAATGTTTGGGCAATATTTTCAGTACAGATCGCAGAGCAGGTAGTAAGTCTCTGAATGTGGTGCATTGCCTTCATCAAAGTAACAAAGTTACATCTTTTCTTTCTGCTCAATTATTATGGCTTTGCAGATCAATGTCATTCCACAAGCAGGCATTAACGACCTCCTCTGTTCCCTTACTTAAATACCTCTGTAGTAAATACCACACTCTGGGGGACTCTGGCAACTCAAAGATAAAAACAAAGACTCTCTGCTCTTACATTTTTCCATTCTGATCTCGATGGATATCAGAGAGTCAGAAAACAGTATGCAACATTTCAAATATTTCGCCAACTACTGACAACACCGCTGATCATTCACCACCATTGATGGAACAAAAAATAGCAGTGGTAATCAATCATACTTCTTTCTTCTATTGAAAGTAACATTACTCTGTTCTGCTTCTGGGAGCCAACATGGTGGAGTGAAAAGGCAGTCACTCTCACTCTCACCTATCAACCTCTGAAAACCCAGAAAATATCACCCCAGAAAAAAAAAACCCTGGAACACCTGCACTAGAAGAAAGACGAGGAGCAGCAGTGCAGCAGCCCAGCAAACAGTTTTCCCAGTGCCTCAGCAAAAAATAAGGGAGGCAGAACTGCAAGGAGCCCCAGGGGGACAAGTATCCTGTGGCATTCATCTGAAAGGAGCTGAATAAAATAACATAAAGGCTTCCCAATGCCCTGGCCTTGCTCATTCCAGCCCAACACCAGGTGAGCTGTAGGAGCCCTGAAGCCTACAATTGTGAAGAACTCCTGAAGCCCAGGTGGTAGAGCAGGCAAACACCAACATCTGGACCTCCGAGTGCCTCAGTGAGGGTTGGGGGAACCGGTGGAAACCAGCTCAGGAAATCACCAGGAGTCTCGCCACTCCACTGCAAAGGAATCTCCCAACGCATTAGCAGAAAGGAGGGAGAGAACACTGCAGGGGCCCCAGGCAGACAAACATCCTGCAGCACCAATGTGATGGAAATCGACTTGGCCCATGGTCTCCTCTTTAAAATGGAGAACAAACAGGAGGGAGGTAAGCATGGTGAAAGACCTAAAGTCCATGTCACAAGAGCACAGGCTGAAAGAATTGGGATGTTTATCTTGGAGGAAAGAAGATCAGGAGGGATACAAAATCTGTCTTCAAGTATTTAAAGTAATGTCATGGGGAAGTCAGACTTACTCTGTTTGGACACAAATGGCAGAACCCAGAGCCAAGGCAGGAAGTTGCAAATGGGAAAATTTAGCTCTCACGTTTGGGAAAATCTTCCAAACAGTTGGAGCTGCCTCAAAGTAGAAGGGGCTGCCTTGGGAAGTGGTAGGTTATTCCTCTTTGAAGGTCTTTAAGCAGAGGGACTAGATGGGTGTGGATTATGTGAGTCTATGAATTGCCCAAGTACTAAGAAAAAACACAAAGTAAGAAAGAATTAGCAAAGCCACTTGGCTTTGTGGCTTGTTTGTTTATTGCCAGGAAACCTCAGTTTTATTTGGAAATTGCCAGGCCTGAAGACAATGGAAAATCAGCATAAGAGGGAATGTAGTAAGGAAAAATCTTTGGAATCTCAGTACTGAAATCTTAGGGTGAGATAAAGTCTAGCAGTGAACTTTCTTCTCAAACAGCATAATCTGGTGATTGAAAGCCAAAAGGGAGGACAAGAAGATTGGAGTATTAGGTTAGGGCTTGACCTGAGAAGCTCAACATCAAATTCAAAGTTCTTAACCACGCAAGAAGGAGAGACCAACAGAGAGGTGACAGTCGCACTGAAGAAGGAACCTAAATAGCCAGCCACTGCTGAAGGTTTCCAAATGGGTCTCTTGTGATCAGCTTAGAAGTGGTGAACTATACAAACTCTACTCATACTGATTCACATGATTAAGAGAACTGATGTCTCCCAGGGGTGGGTTGAGGATGGTGAACAGTCATATGCTGGTCTGTACATTTAGCAGCAAGAGGAACCACAGCAGGCTGGGCGGCAGCAGGTGGTTCTGCAGCAGGTGGTCTGGCAGCAAGTGGGGCGGCAGCAGGGCTGGCAGCAGCTGGACCCACAGCAGCTGGGGCGGCAGCAGGGCTGGCAGCAGCTGGACCCACAGCAGCTGGGGCGGCAGCAGGGCTGGCAGCAGCTGGACCCACAGCAGCTGGGGCGGCAGCAGGGCTGGCAGCAGCTGGACCCACAGCAGCTAGGGCGGCAGCAGGTGGACACAATGCAAGTGGGCCTGTAGCAGTTGGTCCTGCAGCAGGTGCTCTGGTAGCAGGGAGGTCGGAAGCAGCAGCCAGTCCTGCAGCAACAGGGGGCACAGCAGCCAGAGCCACAGCTCTGGCCAGAGCAGGTAGAGCCACAACAGGAGCTGACCATGGTGTTGGTGGATTGAGCTTCTGGGTTTGTTTCCAGGTGAGTGGGTGACTTGAGTTTGAAAGTCTCCTGACCCCACAGGGCTCTTTTATACCATCCTGAATGGCAGCCATCACCAGTAATAGCTTATTTCCTCGTTATTGTTTAGCAAGAGGGAAAAATGACCCTCAATTTAGATAATTTCTGTAATGAGGGGGGGAAGAAACTTATTTCCTCTAACCTGTTACCATTCGTCTACTTTTCTACAGATCTGATTAAATCCATATGACTAGGTCACACAGAATATCAGAACTGGAAGCAACCTCAGAGGCTATCTCCCCATCTATGTCTGAACAACATGCTTATAATGTGACTTCTTCTTTGAAATCAGGTTGGTTAGGGGCATCACCTCTGTTCATTTTTGTTTTCCTGCCTCCACCTTCTAGTCCTCATGTGATAGACAGCCCAGGCCAGCCTTTGATGTCACTCTGTTTTATCTATGTATCATCCTGTGACTCACAAGAGATGTAGTTTCATGTATGGTGAAG